GTCTTCTCTGCTATTAACTCTTACCGAGAGGGGGTTGAGAGAGAGATTTATATACTTTTCCACTTATATTTTTGCTAACAGGACGCAGCAGCTTTGAACGCGGTACGCTAATCCCACTTTCTGACTCGTTAATCACAACGCTACCTGCCCATCTTCTTGGGGGCTTAAGAGTGCTAAAAACGAAACAAAAAAATTATCACAAATGATAATTGCTCTTTCTGAAAGCGGGGGAAATTTACTAATAGAGGTCTTTTGTTGAAAGAAAGAGACTTTTGCTGAAGGAAAGAGGCGTAAAATATTTCTAATGGGAGGTCGTTTGCTGAAGGAAAGAGGTATAAAATATTTCTAATCAGAGGTCTTTTGCTAAAGGAAGAGGTTTTTGTTGAAGGAAAGAGGTGTAAAATATTTCTAATGAGAGGTCTTTTGCTGAAGGAAAGAGGTATAAAATATTTCTAATGAGAGATCGTTTGCTGAATGAAAGAGGCTTTTGCTGAAGGAAAGAGGTTATTACTGTAGGAAAGAGGTGTAAAATATTTCTAATGAGAGGTCTTTTGTCGAAGGAAAGAAGCTTTTGCTGAAAGAAAAAGGCGTAAAATATTTCTAATGAGAGGTCTTTTGCTGACGACGGAAAGAGGCTTTTGCTGGAGGAAAGAGGCATAAAATATTTCTAATCAGGTCTTTTGTTGAAGGAAAGGGGTATAAAATATTTCTAATGGGAGGTCTTTTGCTGAAGGAAAGAGACGTTTGCTGAAGGAAAGAAGTATAAAATATTTCTAATGAGAAGTCTTTTGTTGAAGGAAAAAGGCTTTTACTGAAGGAATGGGGTGTAAAATATTTCTAATGAGATGTCGTTTGCTGAAGGAAAGAGGCATAAAATATTTCTAATCAGAGGTTTTTGCTGAAAGAAGAGGCTTTTGCTGAAGGAAGAGGCTTTTGCTGAAGGAAGAGGCTTTTGCTGAATGAAAAAGGCATAAAATATTTCTAATCAGAGGTCTTTTGCTGAAGGAAGGGGATTTTGTTGAAGAAAAAGGTGTAAAATATTTCTAATGAAGTCTTTTGCAGAAGGAAAGAGACTTTTGCTGTAGGAAAGAGGCGTAAAATATTTCTAATGAGAGGTCGTTTGGTGAATAAAAGAGGCTTTTGCTGAATGAAAGAGGCTTTTGCTGAATGAAAGAGGTATAAAATATTTCTAATCATGTCTTTTGTTGAAGGAAAGAGGTTTTTACTGTAGGAAAGAGGTGTAAAATATTTCTAATGAGAGGTCTTTTGTTGAAGGAAAAAGGCTTTTGCTGAAAGAAAAAGGCGTAAAATATTTCTAATGAGAGGTCTTTTGCTGACGACGGCAAGAGGCTTTTGTTGGAGAAAAAAGGCCTAAAATATTTCTAATGAGAGGTCTTTTGCTGACAGAAAAAGGCTTTTGCTGGAGGAAAGAGGCATAAAATATTTCTAACCAGGTCGTTTGTTGAAGGAAAGAGGTTTTTGCTGAAGGAAAGAAGCGTAAAATATTTCTAATGAGAGGTCGTTTGGTGAATGAAAGAGGCTTTTGCTGGATAAAAGATGCTTTTGGTAAAGGCAAGAGGCATAAAATATTTCTAATCAGGTCTTTTGTTGAAGGAAAGAGGTTTTTACTGTAGGAAAGAGGTGTAAAATGTTTCTAATGAGAGGTCGTTTGCTGAATGAAAGAGGCTTTTGCTGACGGAAAGAGGCGTAAAATATTTCTAAAGAGAGGTCTTTTGCTGACAGAAGGAGGCTTTTGCTTGAGGAAAGACGCATAAAATATTTAATCAGGTCTTTTGTTGAAGGAAAGAGACTTTTGCTGAAGAAAAAAACCGTAAAATATTTCTAATGAGTGGTCTTTTGCCGAAGGAAAGAGGCTTTTGCTGAAAGAAAAAGGCGTAAAATATTTATAATGAGAGGTCTTTTGCTGACGACGGAAAGAGGCTTTTGCTGGAGGAAAGAGGCATAAAATATTTCTAATGAGAGGTCTTTTGCTGAAGGAAGGAGGCTTTTGCTGAAGGAAAGAGGCTTTTGCTGAAGGAAAGTGGTGTAAAATATTTCTAATGAAAAGTACAGGTACCCCCAATTTAAATTGGGGGTATCTGTACTTTTCATTAGAAATATTTTTCTGTCGATATCATCTCTTTTTTGCCCTGAAATAAGAAAGAAATCATCCTTTGGTATCTACGAAAACTGGTTCATGTCGATTTAAAATTAAATATTATTTCATTGATATTTTTCTAATCTAAAATCTATCTTCGTAAAAACTAACAACCTATTACGTCATCTGTAACCATTTCCCCATGACGAAATATTCAGGTTATGTCTCAAGGTGACTAAGTTAAACGCAATAGACCGTGTCTGTTAACGTTATATGTCTTCCCAGACATAAAAAAAACAGTCATTGTGCCACGTGTTCTCAAGAACACGTACCACAGTGGATAAAGAGTAAAGAGTATAAAGAATAAAAACTACCCGGTTATGGCAGTGGAGAACTTGCAGAGGGGAATTACGCAGGAGATAACTGATAACTGACAACCATTAAACATGGCATGTGGAACTAGAACGGGCTATCCCAGTGAGTGAAATAAAGGGTTCAATTCGACATTCCAACCACCTGAAAAAGGCCAGAGCGTACAACTGCCGAAACGTTGTAATAAATATGGCGACAAAGATGAGGACAATGGTCCGAATAATGTAAATAGTGTACATAATACCTCATCTCAGAAATATAGACATATATATATAAATATATATATATATATATATATTTATGTGTGTGTGTGTGTGTATGTGTGTGTGTGTGTGTGTGTGTGTGAATATATATATATGTGTGTGTGTTTTGTTCTTATTGGAAAGTGCTCACTATCACTGATAGAGCTAACATACTTAGTTGTATTGATATAAGTTTGTGACCCTGGGTTTCACGGCCTTGCTATCGTCATATATATATATATATATATATATATAAATTAACTGATTTAAAATATGTTTTTTCGCTACACAGAAATAACCACGTTTCAAAAATGGAATTTGTAAAAAATATCAATAAGAACACCGGATTACATATCTTACTCTTCTTTCTTTTTATTTACACACACAAACACATGGATGTATGTATGTATATATATATATATATATATATAAAGAATTTGCGTATTTTTATTTATTAACCTAACAGATTTTATTACTTAGACGTTATTTTTAGTCGATATCCATATTTAAGTAGATGTTCCATTTATTTATTAAACTGTATATTTATTTATTTTCGTCTACTGGATTAAATATTTAATAAATCTTATTAAATGAAAAATATGCGACAGGGGAAACCGCCTTTAGACTCAACGTGTCTCGTCGACGAAGTGCCTCGTCGATCAATAATGCCTTATAAATGCAAATCTTTCTCGGAGTTTCGAGGCCTTCATATCAGCTCAGTTTCATATCCTAACGCATATTTTTCATTAATAAAACTTCCCTTCGTTTGTTGAAAGGAAGCCTAATTCAATTTGCACAATTGAACTCGCATGTTAATTAAGACCGTTTCCCGCCTTCCGTCTGCATGGCTAATGCTAACCTCCATGATAGTGACTCATTGTGCCTTCTTGGCCTTACATTCTTGGCTGACATGAAGTGGAAAGATTATTTTGAATCCATTGCTAGGTATGCTGCTTAGAAACATGTTCCAGAGAGTCGTGCTAGGAAATTTTTCTTCCAAAAATCTATCATACTTATAAGTCTACCATTCATCCATGCTTTGAATATTGTCACATACGATCCAGTGGACCTGCTATACATTTAGAGATTCTTGATAAAAACCAAAGAAGAATCAGCAATATTAATGCTCCTAGCCTGGCATCTCAGTTTCAGTGAGTTTCCGACCTTTGTAATGTAGCTTCCCTGTGTCTTTTCTAAAAAAATTTCATAATTGTTCGGATGAGCTCTTCGCTATGGTACCACGACTTTACTAATTTGAGAGCAGTACTAGATTGGCAATTAGGTCTCATCAATTTGCATTTAAAGTGGCTAGTGTAACCCGTAAGTTCTATGCTAGCAATTTCTTTTTTCGCACTTCTCGATTGTGGAACCCTCTTTCGGCTCCATGCTTTCCCGCCAAATTTGATTTTCGAAAATTTAAAAGCTATGTCAATCGTTATCTTCTGTCTTCTCAATCCTTGTTCTTTTATTGTCCTCCCTCCTCAATAGTAGTTTTTTTGGGGGCGGGGGGGGTCATATTTTCTCGGCTGATATGAAAGATTATATTGAATCTATTGCTCGGTCTGCTGCTCAGAAAGTTGGCTCCTTATGTCGTACTACACTATTTTTCTATCCAGAATCTATCTTACATATTTATAAGTCTACCATTCGTCCATGCATTGAATATTGCTAACCACATCTGGTCCGGTATTCCTGCTGTTGTATCTAGACATTTTGAATTTAAGCGTAGTACTAGACTAGCAAGGAGATCTCATCAGTTTACAGTTGAGCTGGCAAGATGTAATCGTACCTTCTATGCTAATAAGTCTACCATTCGTCCATGCTTTGAATATTGCAGCCACATCTGGCCCAGTATTCCTGCTGTATATCTAAAGATACTTAATAAAATCCAAAGAAGAATCAGCAATATTATTGGTCCTGATCTGGCAACTTGACTTCAGTCACTTGTCCACCGCCGTAAGATTACCTCCCTGTGCCTTTTCTATAAATATTTCCATGGTAATTGCTCGAATTAACTCTTCGCTGTTGTATCTTGACATTTTGAATTTAAGTGCAGTACTAGACTAGCAGGGAGATCTCATCAATTTAGACTTCAGCTGGCAAGATGTAATCGTACCTTCTATGCTAATAAGTCTACCATTCGTCCATGCTTTGAATATTGCTGCCACATCTGGTCCGGTATTCCTGCTATATATCTAAAGATACTAAATAAAATCCAAAGAAGAATGAACAATATTAATTATTTATACCGTCGTAAATATCGAAAAAAATAAATTAAAGTGCCTCACCCGCTGTGTCCACAATTTGTAAATGGATCTTTTTCTGGTTCTTCTCCAAGACTTTTCTTCTCGGAAGATTTTGGTCCTGATAAGAATCGTCCAATTGTTGCATTGTCTTTTCATCCTTTAAGTACCGATTAACGAGGGTTGATTTACCAGTGGCAGCATCCCCAACTACGATTAACCTTATTTGGTAATCGTACTTGATGCCGTTTGACTGTTTTGCTGCCTTGCAGGTCAGGTAACGACCTGTAGATACCTGATGATAATAGCCCGTCTGAGACATCGTAGATTCGTGGCAGGTCCTCAACAAACGGCTGAGATCTAAAGAAAAACAAAAATGTGACATTATTTACATTATTCGGACTATTGTCCTCATCTTTGTCGCCATATTTATTACAACGTTTCGTTTAGTATCTGTCTATATTTCTGAGATGAGGTATTACATATTTACATTATTCAGACTATTGTCCTCAAACGTTTCGGCCCTTTAGTATCTGTCTATATTTCTGAGATGAGGTATTATGTACATTATTTACATTATTCCGGCTATTGTCCTCATCTTTGTCGCCATATTTATTACAACGTTTCGGCCCTTTTAATCTGTCTATATTTCTGAGATGAGGTTTATGTACATTATTTACATTATTCAGACTATTGTCCTCATCTTTGCCGCCATATTTATTACAACGTTTCAGCCCTTTACGTATCTGTCTATATTTCTGAGAATATCGATTTACTTATTCCGAACCCCATATTTCAACGCTCATATTTCTGAGATGAGTACATTACTGTTCTATTGTCCTCATCTTTGTTCCACGTTGTACATTCGTTCTTCAAATGTCGAGATGCTCAGGGATATCTAGTTCCACGTGACATCTATCCTCTGAAAGTTCTCCACTGCCTTAACCGGGTATTGAACTCACACTCTTTGGGTCCTGTCACTGGATCTAACCAACGCCTTTATCCACTGTGCCATGTGTCCTTAATCATTACACTTCATTGCATGATTGTTTTGTATATTATATTTCAATATATATTTATTTGTTGATCCAGAATTAGAGTTTCGTTGTTTTGTTTTGTTTTTTTTCTTCAATCGTTAAATGTACAATAGATATATGCGTTAAGAACACGCATCACATTTTTCTTAAAGTTGATAAGCGCAAATGTTGAACGATGCGATAGTGGAATTTCCACATGTATTTTGTTTTCGTGGAAATCGTCAGGTGTGTATTATTGGATCATTAAACATTTTCACTGGAACTTCTAGTATATATTTTTATACACACTTTCTCCGCCCCTGAATTTCAACCAAAACTTCTTATCTCAAAAAAAAACAAAAAAAAAAAAAAACATTAAGAGCCATTTCAATCAGAACATTGAAAATCGAGGCCAAATTCACACAAAGAATAATATCTTATCTGAATTGAAGTTTAGAACTGAAATTTAGGACGTGAAGAGTTTGTTTTTATTTTTAGCACAAAATTTATAACCATTACAAAGCTCAGAGTAGTGCAATATTTCAAACATGTCATTGAATTGAAATTTTAAATATGTTTCAACCGAAACATTGCAATTTAAGACATAAATACGCATAAAAGCATCTCGTATCTATTTAAACAGAGTCAGTTGCTCAAGGAGGCACAAGTTTTTTTTTTGTTTTGTTTTTTTTAACATGAAGCTTATAAATTTTATAGCCTTGTAAGTCGCAAACAGCTTTCGTTCTTTGCGAGTTGTTCGATTATGAAATACCTGTGGAAATTTTCCTATCACATCGTTAAATACCTGAGCTTAACTTTAACAAAATTTACCAATAACAGTCATAATTATGGCTGCAGGTCATTACTTAAAGAAGTAAGAGGGTACAAATATAAAGATTTTAAATTGATAAGTTTTTTCACTAAAGCAGACGATAAACGCACAAAATTATTATCACCCCTCTCTCTCTTAATATCACACACACACATATATATAAGTGAACAGTGAAGTCAACCCTCAGGCTGTTTCATGCTAGACGCAATCGTCAGTCCGCTTGACGATTGCGTCTTGCATGAAATAGCTTGTCGACTGAGTGTTGACTTCAATGTTCACTTTTATATTTATATACGTTCTATCTCTGATACTTTATCCCATATAACACACCTTAAAAATATATTTCTTCATATATATATATATATATATATATATATATATATATATATATATATATATATATATATCTCCCAGTATCACTTTGGTGGCGTAATAATAATTTTAAATAAAATGCTTTCTCAGTGACATTAGATAAAATAAAATTGTTATAAAATCTGACAAAATAGAATACATTTCTGAAATTGAAAACAATGTGGCACCTTAAAACCAGAGAACAATAAAATTAAAGACAAAAAAAATAATTAGAGCTGTGTTTACGATTAAAAATAAAAAAAAAAAAAAGAACAGCTAAGAGCATCACCCCCACCTCTCTGCTCATCTACTCAAGAGACCATTGGGCATTATCTATGTAAAAATGAAATTGAAACACTCTAAGTATCACTTAGCATCAAACGAGGTGTATACATTTCCCTTGCCAGAGCCGGCCCTTACTACTCCGAACCCTTCGATCGACGGGGGAAAAGCTTGATTGGGACCCCCAAGCAGTGCTTTGTAACCCTCGCTACCTTCAACATTTGCTTTCTTTTCTAACTCCATTTATAAACATTTAAAGTAAAAACAGAAGCACAACTGGCTATCGAAGGAGCAAAATCTTTGCGGATTTTGACGTCATTTTGGGGCTTTTTTTTTTTTTTTCGCCTAGTTTCGTGAATTTTTTTTGCTCATGCTAAATCGTAACAAAAAAACACACACACACAATATAAAATTCATTATTTTTTATCCAGAATGTTGAACGTGTTAAAATTATTCAAGTTTATAACAAGAAAAATCGGAAGCTGATGTTAAAATTGCTGCAAAGCTTTGTTGATTTATTCAATCTGTAGTAAGCATATCTCTAAATTTCTATTTTGATACATTGTAGTTCAGTTATTCTAGTTGAATTGTTTACCTATATTGCATACGATCCATTATTGTACATAATTAGGTTACATTTACAATAAAAATTGTATTTTATTTGAAAATTGTATTTTACATGAAAATAGAGATGTATTAGAATTGGGTGGGGCTTAACATATATGCTGAGGGTTCACACACGAGACCATTGCAACGGCCCTGTACCTTGCCTTTCGACACGTTTCGGATAATGACCCGATAAGGAATTGTACTGGTCAGAAAACAGAAGAAAATGAAAAATTAATAAGAATTTTTAATCGAACTTTTCTAAAACTGAAACAAGTAGAAGGCCGGGTCTTTTTTCCCGAGGAACCAGAGGGGAAAAAATAAAGGAAAAAAAAAGAAAAGAAATTAGAATAATGATAGAAGAATTCATTAATTTTTTTTTTTTGTAGGAATTTTTGTTCGAAATAAAAAAAAAAAAATTAATAAATAAAAAAAATAATGAAATCTTTCTAAAACTGTAACAAACACAAGGTTTTTTTTTTTCTTCTTTTTCAAAAAAAAGCCGGAGAAAAAATATAAAGTAATTTAAAAATAAAAAAAAAAAAGAACAAAGAAAAGAAAAAAAAGAACAAAGAAAAAATAAATTAAAGAAAGAAAAATCGATATATTAAAAAAAAAAAAAAAATAAAAAGTGAATTAAATTAATAATAACTTTTAATCGAACCTTTCTAAATAGTGAGGATTTTTTTTTTCAGAAAAAGCTGGAGAAAAAAATATTATAAAAAAAATGAACGAAAAAGATAGGGAAAGAAAAATCGATTAAAAAAAAATATTTCTGAAGAACCAATTCAAAATTAAAAATTAAATAAAAAAAAAATATAATTTCGAAATTAATGTAGGCTTTTTTCTTTTTTTTAATGACTCATGACATTCAACTTTACAAAGTGCAACAAAGAAATATATAAGAAACCAACCTTATAATAACGCAAAAGTAAATTCAAACGCCGACAACCGGAGAAATTCTTCTCCTCTCTGAGCGAACAAGATTTGAAGCGTTGCGTTTCTTAAACAGCCACTCTCAATGTGACAAATGGAAGTTTTTCTTTTCTTTCTCCCACTCGCGTACTTTTCTTTTTACTTTTCAAAGTTTCTCTTTGTTTAATCCAATCAGAACAACACAAAGATCAATGTCCGTTCCGTTTTCCCTCTTCCACTTAGTGTCACTTTTTTGTGCTTGTTGCTTCTGCTTTGTTTGCGTGTAAATCTCTATTGGTGCGCGCGCATTTTTTAAGTTTATACGGACATTGGAGAAGAAGAATTTCACCCTTTGTAAAAGGCTAAAAATATTTTTTTTAAAAATGTGTAGTACGTAAAAAAAAAAAAAAACAAAATGAAAGATGAAACACTTTTACAAATCTAACAAAATGTTCACAGTGTGGAACAATTAACAATAAGGCGTCGGACTTTCTAAAAAGAAAACGAAAAACATTTTCTTCTTTGAATTTAAATTTCGGTTCTGTGTGAAAGATAAGATCTAAAAAGATAATAACAAATCCCAATGTTTTAGTAATTTTTAGCGTTACATAAAGAAGGCGTACGGAACACCGGCAGTGCCATAATCAAGAATTTGTTATTTATATTCAAACAAATTTTCTTTAACCTAATATAACCAATAGTTTATGAATATCAATTTTTTATATTCTATAACGCTTTTATTAAACTTATTATAATAAATAATTTTATTTTTTATACTGACTGAATGAGAGATATTAAATTAGATTAATACTCCACAGATAGTAGTCAGTTAACGAGAGATATCAGAATTATTTTCTTTTTGTACATCCATACACAAAATAATCTAACAGTTGTTAAAAGGAAAAAATAAAATAAAATTCTTTTTAAAACGGCTCACACTCGAAAAGAACATTAAACTTTGCATTTTTTAAATCTTAAAAGAGGTCTTTATATAATAAATGAAATTCTTGACGAACAGCAACTGGATGAATTTCAAAATTGCACTGAAAAATTATAAGACAAAACACTATAAAAGTGTAAAAATAGATTTTAATACCAGAAATACTTTTGAAAAAATATTACCATTTTTAGAAAAAAAATATTACCAGCAATACATTTTTAGAAAAAAAATATTACCAACAATACGTTTTTGAGAAAAATATTACCAACGATACAGATTTGAAGGAAAAATATTAACAGAAACAGATTTTTGAACAAAAGATATTACCAACAATAAAAATTTTGTCGGCATTAAATAACCCATTGAGGTGTTGATAACAAAAGAAATTAAACCAAACTAATCCAGGCAAGGGCGAATGGTTGATTTATACATTTGAAGGATAGACTAGGGCTAGAAAAACTTTCTTCAAAATCATCATTGTTATTTTCAAAAGCCGAACCAAAGGTCCTTTTAGTTTTGGGCCGGAAGAGCTAGCTTTTATGCTAATATATATATATATATATATATATATGTATATGTATATAGTGTGTGTGTGTGTGTGTGTGTGCGCGCATCAAAAATACTTTTAAAAACTTTGGGGGCGGGTTCCTCCCACTAAAACAAGGTAAAATGGCCATATAAACATATGTCCAAAAGGCCATCGTTGTACCTTGACACGACAACTCGTTACAAATGTTCAAAATATCGTCTGCTTGCTTCTACACACGCATGCACCCGTCGGATCATTGACTGGCGGACCCTTTCAAATATTCCCACACGGCGTCGTTGTTATAGGAGAAAAAAATATGTTCAATTATTAGCGTCGACATATGCTCCTAACATAAAACAAGACATCGCAATACAATAGCATATTTCAATAATGAAGCTTATAAATTATACAACACTCAAATGAAGCATATTTCTATAAAGAAACTTATAAGCATGACAAAGCTCAGATTATCCCATAATTAAACATGTTTCAAGGGTAAGGCTTATAAACACGAAAAGGTTTAGATTAGTCCAAAAATTATGTATATTTCAAAAATGAAGCTTATAAGCACAAATAGGCTCGGATGCCAAAAAAATGAAGCATATTTCAAGAGGGAAGTTTATAAGCATGAAAAGGCCCAGAGGAGTCCAAAAATGAAGCAGTAGATGAAAACAGGAAAATCCACGGGTATTTTGTGAAAATTGCATAGAATGTATTCAATCGTTAAAATAAAAATCAGATGGGAAAACCGTGAAAATTTTCACAGGCCATTCCTTCTAGTTTTTAATAACAAACACGTTTTTTTTTTTCCAAGGCGTCATTTCGCTAAATATCGAAAAAATGTCTTTGGTATGTCCTTAAAAGAAACAGTAAAATATGAAATTAAAACATACTATTTAAAATGATGATTAACTTTTGCAAAAATAATGGAAAATCCGATTTGTACATTCCAGTGTCATTCGACTGAGAAATTCAAAAAGTACTGCAACCGTAACACTGGAAATAAAGGCGAAAATACACATAAAATAAAAGGTTGTCGAATCTATTTAAATTTAGTCAGTTGCTCAAGGACGTACGCCTTTCAGAGTTGTTTATTGGTGTTTTTAACATGAAAAATTATGCGCATTCGTGGGTACAGGATAGTTCAAAAGCTGACGTCTTTTCATTGAGTCGAATAATAAAAAAAGAATTGTGTAATTAACAAACGTAATCGGCCGATCTTACTCGGTTTTGTGTGTGTGTGTATTTAGGCAGCATTCATTCTTTCATGCACATTTCATTGAATACGACTGACAAGGTGCTTTTATTTAGTATTTTATACAATTTCTCATGCGATCTAATAATTTCTTTTCTTTTCGGATGATAAATTATATAAAAACTGTCCGAATGTTCTTTTTATCCGAGCGCTTTCGGCTATACATTTAGCCATTTTCAAGGATTAAATATTTTAACTGTTAAATAAGAAATAATTTGTTGTGTGTATGTTTTATAAAATGTTTTCATTTTTTTCAAAACACGGTCAAGATATTATGTCCATGTTCAAAGTCAATATTATTAAGTGTTGTTTTTTTTTTGTCTTTTTTATTAATAAGGCTTTCATTATTTTGAGCCTTTTTTTTGCATAATATCTTGATCGGATAAAAAGAACATTCGGTCAATTTTTATATAATTTATCATCCGAAAAGAAAAAAAAATTAGATTGCATGAGAAATTGTATAAAAAACTCAATAAAAGCACCTTGTCTGTCGAATTCAATGAAATGTATATATATATATATATATATATATATATATATATCCTATATAAAGTGAATGGTATTTAAAAATCCTTGAAAATAACTCAATAACGAATGATTTAATGTTTGTTAAAAGGATAAATGCTCCATGTCCATGACTAGTTTGAAAGTGCTATACGCGCTGTTTAGCATGACGTAAGCCCTTACATAAGCATTTAATGACTAACTCTCTCTTTCTATATATATATATATATATATATATATTTTCATTATATATATATATATATATATATATATATATATATATATATATATATATATATATATATATATATATATATATATATATATATATATATGTAATAATTATGAATGTTAGTGTGTCAATATGTCACACTTTTCAACTTTAGTCCTAGAGCCTGTAGTCCAACATATCATACCATTTTGGAATCAGACCGACTCCATGAGCAAATTAAAAACATTTCGGACCGGATCCGGAACCAAAATCTTCAAATTTTAAATTCCCAAATTTTCATTTCTGCGATTGTTTTCGGCGATTTTTTTACATGATTTTTTGCGACAAATTTTTTGTAGGATAACAATTTTTTTCTAACTTGGATATAAATTTGGGAATAATCGAAATTAATTGCGATATCCAGCGAAAGTCAATCATGAAATAAAAATAATTGTTTATATGAAAATTAAGTACATCAAATTGTCTTTAAATCTATCCATCTTGTGGCAGCAGTCTCTCTTTCATACAGGTTTCATTAAAACCGACTGACAAGGTACTGCGATTAAATGTTGGATTTCATTTTTAGTTGTTATTTACCTTCATTCATATTGTCCTTTTACAGATTTACCTTAACTTTTCAAACACACAGTTGTAGTGAACAAAACAAGATCTAGATTTAAAATTCAAATGCTAAGCACTGACTTATTGATTTTGTTAGAAATTAAAAAGACTCGAATTTACAAACTTTGCTTAACACACACGCAAAAGCGAATCCAAAACAAAACTCGTGAAATTTCCCACCTTGATGCGAAATGTTTTTCGGCCAATAGAAAACTAGGAAACATTTAAAAACAAAATTCAAATAATCTTCAATTCTCAGAAACAAATTCTTTTACGGACCTTTTTGCGAATCGACGCGAAGTTTGTTCATCGTCCAATGGAAAGGCCCGAATCATATCCGGGAGTGAATTCCTAAATGAACTTTTCAAGCCCCACAAACAAAATAAAAGACAGGCAAGTTCACTTGTCACCAGAGAGGAGACGAGCGTATTAACATGTCCCTTGATAAACGTCAAGCGATCGTTATTATTATCTCTACTTTTCTCCCTCACCTCTTTTATACTTGATAAACGAACGGAACATTTTAAGACTGAGCGATTACTTCAAAGGCATTTCTACCCTACGATAACGCTCATACATACATTCATAAGTCCACACATACGTTCCTGCCTACGTACACATAAACTCATTCTTGCAAGGACTACTACGAACATTTTGACGACCTTGTATTAACCAAAATACATTAATTTTATTTGTAGAGACCTTAATTGATTTATATGTATTTATTGTTTCACTTTTCAATTTGATTTTCTTGTTTTATACCCCTCTTATGGTGGGCTATCTAACTAACATGGCCAAATCAAACTAATCTGCTTCAACACTCATACTCTTCACTATAACTGATAACCCACTATAAAAGTCACTCACATAGATATATATGATAAAGATTTTTATAGTTTTAAGGTATTCTATATTAATTAGGTAAAGTGATCAGTATCAGAGATAGAGCGGAGGTCAATATAAAAATGGACATTGAAGTCAACACCCAGCGGCGACAGTATGTTTCATGCTTCAATGATATCATCAGGACATTTTATGGATAATGATGTACTGACGTTGTCGCCGCCGGGGGTTAACTTCAATGTCCTGTTATATATATATATATATATATATATATATATATATATATATATATATGTG